TGCTTACTTCTTAACATTTCTTCTGTTACAGAAGGATATATGTTCCTTCTTTATGTCAACACCACTTTGTCCTACTGGAGATAAAAAGAGTAAAATCTACCTCAATTACCTTCTTAGATATGATCTAAAATTCCAAGGTATGAAGAAGGAAAGCATAAGAAAAAAACACCAAAAACAAAACCCAAACTTTTTATTCAAAACAGAAAATATTTAAAATTCTTCCTGTTTGTATCTATTTCATTTAGCATACATATTATTTTAGGATTCCACTCTCACATTCTTCCTTGTTTTTCTTATTATAGAACCTAACAGAACCTAACCTAATTATCACAGATTAGGACTCAATTGTTACGCTATGTACTTATAATTTAAATACCCATATAAATAGCCACATAGTAATACAGATTTCATTGCTGAGAGGTAAGACTATCTCAGTAGTATGGTAAGTGTTCTCTGTAGGTAGAAGAAAAATACATACCTTTACATTGTTATGTCAAAACTGTGACATGTAAGAAGGGTTTGACAAAGGCAAAAAGCCGCTACAGAATTATAGCTCAAGTTTGACTTGAAACCTGAAACTTTTATTATTTGCCATGAGTAACAAGTTCTTTTGAAGTCTTGTGCGAAGATAGAAAAATGTAACGATTCTAAAAATACACACTGATCTGATCTTCAAAATGTTATGAGTTCTAGAATGACCTCATAAAATAGATTTTTTTCATTGTGTTATTTCGATAAGGCAAAGTTTTAAGTTCTTCATTCTTCCAAGATGTAATCAATTAATTAACACTTTTCTGCTGTTTCTCTCATGAACCAGAAGAATTTTGTGTTTATTTTGGCTGAAATTATTTATTGAATGTTTGCTGTTTTCACTATGTTAATTTGTCGTTATGTGATGACTTAGAGAGAACTTAAGATTTCAGAATTTAAGTAGCACAACTATGAAAATACACTCATCATAAATAATTTTATTTTTCCTATCAAAGTTTCCACTTCAATATGTATTTCTCCAAAACTTTACATTTACTGACTGAATTTCCCCTAGGAGAAATGGTGCAATAGTCTGCATCATAATAAAACTATTTTGGTCTAATAAAATTTTTGCATGAAAAATACTTATTTTAGTAAAGGTTTAACTAACCATGTTTTTTTCCTAGCAGTTAATAATTTTGCATGTAGTTAAACATTATCCTTTAAATTAATCTATTGTTGATTTCTTGATGACAATTTAGTTTGGTAGTATAAGCTGAGTATGTCATGCAAGCGTTAAAGACAGTATTATTATAACATGATACAAGTTCTGTTAAGAGAAATAAGAGATACAATTATTATTGAACTATACTGCCCAGTCCTCTTGGGCATTTACTGATCAGGAAAAGGCAACATTCTCTCTTGAAATTCAAGTACTTTTTTTTTTGGCCAAACTGTTTCTTTATGATATAACAACTTTCTGGTTCCAGTTAAAAAGTAAAATAAAAAATGTCAATAGCATCATCAATGGGCTAAAAATATTAAGGCCTTTTTTGAAAATGAATCAGGTGCAGATATTGAACTGTACTTTTTCATCCTTTGTCTCACTTTTCAAATGATAATTTCTTCCACAGCCACCATTAAACCTTGATCTATTCCAGCTCTCTGTATGGGTCATTGATTCTAGATGTACCATGGTTATTTTTAAATGTTTCCCTTTCGTTGAGAAAAAGAGGGCTGTCTAGAGCCAGATGGGTAACTTCACACTTCATTTATCAAACCCAATGCATTAGACTCCACCCTCTCTTTCCCACTATTGCTGTTAAATTTCCATATAATTTGGTAACAATTTTAATTATCATACAGTGACCCTAAAAAGTCTACACAGGTTTGCATGGTTAGTCCAAAATTCACGGCTGTTCTCTTGACTCACTATTTGTTACAGTAGAATCTAAGGTTCCCTTACTTCATAAGCTGAACAGTGACCTTCTGTAAGCAGAGGTCAAGAAGGGGTCAGTTCAAAGGGCTAGAGCAGCTCTTTAACAGCTCTAACAACCTGTCCATCAGGCACTATCATGCAGTATAAACAAATCTGGGGCTTTAGAAACTCTGGACCATTTCTTTTAACACTTAGGGGACATTCATTGAGTCCTACCTGAAGTATTTCGGATCACTACCACTCAACATAGAACAACTTGAATCCCTAGAAGACCTGCTCATACTTAAGATCCTGAGGAGGTCTTCGAGTCAAAAGTATATGAAATGGCGAGCCGTAACACTAAATGCACTACCACGTGTTTTGGACTATGGAGCTGAAATAAAAACTTAGAGAGTAATTTCAGTCGGTTAATATGGAGAAACAGTGGTACAACTTAAAGCAAATACAGCAAGGGCGTGCTCTAGCCCAGTAGATACATACACGTATCAAAACAGTTCATATGCCTTTCTCTGAGAAAGGCTAAATTTGTAAAAGCTGAATCAGTTTGTATTATCAATTGCCAGCATGCGTGGGTTTTTTTTTAATTTAAGGTGTCAATGACACAAATAAAACGCATGAAAGAACAGCATGCCTACGTAACTCTACAAAGACCAAGGGCAGAGTAAAGTTTTTGCCAGCTGCCCTCCCTTCATTGACCTAAATTTCTTGAAGTTGTAGTGTTCATAATGTGCTCTCTAATGCACAATGTAAGGTAATTAGAGTCATCTGTATTTAACTTCCAGAGGAAAAAAATTCTATTATCTAATCTAGCTGATCCCCTGATAGCCTGTTGAAAGTAAAATACTGTAACCTATTGCCTGCCCTTTGACAAGTGCTAATTATTTCCTGTCCAAGCACATTTTTCTCATGTAATTCCAAAGTACACAATAGACTGATCTCTAAAACATGGGCAGCCCTGCTAGTACCACAGCGGACGTTTTATAACTTTCACCACCGTATGCTTGATGGCTACCACAGCCAGTGCTTCATTCCAGACATCTAGCTGAAGCTTTGATGAAGTAAAGTGAGGTGTATGGTAACAGTCTCTTTATGCAGATCATATGGATGAGACTCTCAGACAGGTCACTGGGATGGGAAACATCAAATGGAAAGAAAAAGGAGTATGGATATTTAATACTCAAAGGACACTTTCTTTCAGAACTTTCAAGGCACAATGCTCTTGAAATTTTCTTTCAGGTGTTTAGTTTTAAGGAGGCCTGCACTTTGTCTGCTTGTGCCTCTCCCTACCCCTGCCCAAGAACTTTAGCTTTTCTGTGTCAAAGACTAGACTATGTCTACAGCGGCAACCCCGGCTCCAGCCTCCGGGTACATTGTGAGCAGCAAGCAGAGACTAGAAACACTAGAGCTACGCTGCTTTTACGTGAGTCCCGATTGCCACGAGTCCTGATGACTTCATATATTAGGAAATAATTCTTAAACTAAACGAACACTAAAACGATACTCCACTCATTAGAATTGTTTAGCCTCTTCCAAGCTCTAGGAAGCTTTCTGTTTTGGTTCACAACAAAGATGCACGCGTCACCTGGAAAAGCCTGAAGTGATTTCCTCTGTTTCCAATGTAGCCAAACACTTCACATTATTTAGTAAGTATGGTGATGGGAGGCAAATTCCTCCACCCTCCAAATCCCTTAAATTCCTCAAAAAGGAAGAAACAAACCCCACATGATAATATGAACAATACTGTAGATCCACCTTACTAAGCTCTTTTTTCGCTCTGAAATCTTAACTGATTAGTATCAGTAACATTAGTAACATTAATTAGTAACATTCCATACTCAAAAGAATGCAGACTTATAAAACACAGCCTCTAATTTGTAATAATAATTGCTGCTGTGTAATAATGGTTAATTTTTATCTAAAGCTTCTAAAATGTTTCAAGTCCACTCATCACTGTAATGATTTGGAATAGCAAAACCACTCAAGTGTCAGATCCCATATGTACAATCAACTTTTTAAAGTCAATCCCATAGAATTTTTAGGAATTTTCCAAAATTATACACTAACAAAACACAGGAGAACTCCCTTAACTGGAACATTCAGTGCAGGTAAAAAGATCATGCCAGTTAAGTGCTAGTTTTGATTAGCTTAATTTTTGATTAACAAAATCTCATTTAAAAATACTTCTGACTAAAAACTGTGTTTAATTGTAAGCATGGGTCATCCAGTTTTAAAGGAAAGCTGTACATTTGGTAGAAAATTTCAGACTGTTATATATTTTATGTAAATATCATAAATAAGCAGAGATTTATATTAAAAGAGTATAAATTATACCTTTTAGAAATAGAAAAAAGGTGACCAACTCATTTAGCAGCTACAGAGGACACAAGGTGGCATTCAGTGGAAATTGTTTTTGAATTCACATATTTCTGAAAGAACTAGAAGTATGATAGATCTGTAGTTTCTGAAATGCATGCGTTCAACCAGATTCCAGTAACATAAAGTTCTTCACATAAAAACGTAAACAACTTTTAAAAATTGTTGACAACACCACCTGATTCATTACCATGGCAGTAAGTTCAATTTAAGAACTCAGGTATAATAGAACAGTCACATGATACGAACTCTAGCAATATGTATATTTAGGCCAAACTCACCCAACACAACCCAGTTAATACCAGTAAGACACCATGTAAAAATGTGAAAATCAGGAAGAAAGCGGACAATAAGGACAAGACATCTATTAGCATGGCATGCCAGCAAGGAGTACTACTCATATTGTTAGCAGTATGCGGAAAACCTTAGGGCACTTAAGGTGATACCAATCCTCAAATATGTATGCTGCCTATCAGGCTATTCTCAACAGATTGCACTATGTAAGTACAGTAAGGGAGCATTCTCTCCCAAAAAGTAACTCTGAAATCAGAAGCAGAAACCTTGAGGATCCCATTCAAGGAAAAGTACTATTTGAACACTTCAAAAATTCCAAATTTTTTTAAAACGTGAACTTGCTCCCCCCAAGGGGATTTATAGGACTATATTTGTATACTTGTTTTTAATTTTATTACCTTACTGTTTTTCAAAGATTTCTCACCTTGCTGTCCATTCTTTACGCAGCTTTTGTCGCTCAGTAAGAACTAGCAAGAAGCAGCTGATGGTTTCATTCCTTTGTTCCTCAATTTGTTCCTCCTTTCCAACTTCAGAGAGGACCAGGCTTGTCTTAAAGGGAAAAAAACACATAAAAATTATAATCTAGAAATAGGAAACAATGTGTAAAATTAATAAAAAGCCCATAAGCAAATAAGGACAGTAAATCAATAGCTTTTTTTATTACAGTTCCACTGCTGACAAATCAATACAGTAAATGATGGTTAGAAATGGCCACCATGTATTTGGTATTTAATCAATGTACATGGCACATAAGGTAAACCTTAAAATCTCATTGCCTTAAGTAACACAAGATGACATTGTGCATTCTAGGTCTCATTTTTTTGAGACATAATTTTTTTCTTTTCTAAATATTTTCTTGTCCCAAATCATATCAGAAATGTTTCCCTCAATACAGCATTCCTGTTTGGGACTTCCACCTCCGCTTTGATCTTTGGTGAAGCTAAAGAAGAAATACTTGTTTGTATTGTATCTTCTGAAAGGAATTTCTGATGATGTCCCCATGCTCTCTTTATCATGAAGTATTTCAAGTAAATACGTTGTAAAACTCTACCTTTTTTCTTTTATGGAATAAATTAAAAATTGCTTTTTTATATATATATACACACAGACACACACAAACACACAAATAATGGATTTAAGTCTTTGTGGAGTAGGGTCACACTCAGTCTCTGCAGACCAAAAGTTACTGGCCTTCCCAAATGTTTTATCAACAGTTAGCGTTGATGTAACAAAACCGCAGATCATCTTATCGTCCTTCATCCACCCAGCAAGCTAACGCAAACTCCCTCACTCCATCTTTACCCTCAACTACTAACTTGCCCACCATTTTCTCCTCTTTTTTCCCCTGTGCTTCCCCATGTCTGCCAACTTGGGAAAGAAATGGCACAAGCTGATGTTCACGCTACTAACACATATGTCGACCAGGGTACATGGGCTGACTTGGTGTGCAGCATTCCAGCCACAACAGAGATCTAGAGTCAACGCTGCAGCCTTTTCCTTCAGTGAAGATACTGTATTTGCCTTTCTTATCTTAACCAGCCCCTAATATTCACTTAATTATTTTTGCTATTCTAACCTTCTGTCACATTTTCTGCAAACATATAAAAGTATCTAATCTAATTTTGGGAAGGATGACTGAACGGACAGAACGCTTGCACAAACCTATTTTTTTCCACAGAAAATGGTGCAAAAACGTGTTTCTAACCTGAGCAGTTGTAGAAGTGAGTTTGAAAACACAACTCAAACATCACCAAGAGCTGCAATTGCTACTCCCAGCATGGCCTCTCTTACAGGAACAACATGACAAAAAGACATGGCATGTAGCCTCCTCCACATCACATACACATTGCATTCTGCCCTGGCCAAATGTACACCACTAAAATTCCTGTAGGGATTCTGTGAAGTAAATGGTTGTTATTATCTTCAGTTTGTGAAAACAGGCTTGATCTGACAGCTTTTTTTTTTTTCCCACGAGAAAGAATAATATGCAGATTATACACTTCTTAAGCTATGTAAAGGAGTGGTAACATTGCTACTGCCATGGTGGTTCCAAGAGACAAAAACGACAGGGTTCATAGAGACAGAAAATAATTTTATTACACCAGCATCAGATGACAAAGAGCGAATAGCATCTTCCTCCCCACCTCCCGGCTCTATCAGCTGGCCTACCAAAAGGCATTACCCTGTCATACAGGGCTTAGACATCAAAAAGACCATTTTCTTGTAAAAACCCAAAATGTTCAAAACTCTGTCTATACAGATCACATTCTTGACCCTGCTTTGACATTACAAAGCAAACAAAAAGCCAGAGACTATTTTCAGATAAGGATTCCCTGACATGGGTTTCCCTTGCACTGACCTACAACATCTTTTCCACAAGCTCTAGTATCTGCCAACTTCAACAATCTGATCTTAGAGTCTCACTTCCAGCAGCTGCACAGTTTAAAGCAGGATTTGATAGAGGACTTCTGCATGCGAGAACATACTTACATGAGATGAAGAGATGTACATTCTTTAATGAATGTCAATTAACATTCCTCGCACGTTCATGCTTTAACTTTTATATTTACCATGTGCAATACTTGACACAGCACTATAACTAAAACTTGTCTCTGTATTATAGGATCATCAGAGTATAGCCATACAGCTAGGCCACAGTACACCGAGTGACACAGAACACCTTTTCAGAGTCCTTAGATGGTCTTATTAAACACAATGGGATAGTGAAATCCACTGGTGATAGCGTAGAAGTCTGCTTCTCTCCAAGACTGCAGAAAAGCCCCAAGTTTAGTGATGCTATGCCTCACAAAGCTGAAAGTATAGTTATTTGCAGGCAAAAACCATCAACATACCCTAAATGTGTGATTCACAAAGTGCAGAGCATAGAGAACTGATAGTTCCTACAGAATTTTCAGTTAAAATCTGATGAAAAGATGATGTGATTAGAGTATTATCAGTCAGAGAAGATGGGTGACCACTTCTTCAACTATTCACAGTCAATGCTTTTGTATGAATTCTGAGCGCCTGGCCAAATTGCAGCCTTGGTACTGAGTTCCACTAAAGTCCCCTCCATCTACAGGAACATCATAATTCTGGAAACTGAACGTAAATTAACTTTTACTGAGAGAACAATTATACTGCTCCAGCATTCTGTTAATATCTTTAATTTATGCGGTGATGTACGCAGTTCAAATCAAACTCATAGTTTGACACTGACATCATAAATGCTTCTGTACTGAGCCCTGTGAGTCCAGTTGCAGCTACCTGGAGGGTGAAATAGTACTATTAAGCAACATACAACAACAATACATAGCAATTTAACGGATTTACTTGTTTTCTAAGAGTGCTGAGGGCACTAAGGTTACCCGCAACACAAGTCCAGGGCTTGATATGTAGCTTTTATAGAGGCATTTCTTAATAACTTGCTATTCTTATAATCTCAATAAAAATCCCAAATTGTAGCAAATAAAGCAGCATTCTGGGTAAAATAATATAAACCACATTCTTTTGAAAGTTTTCTTTTCCATGTAACTTGTTTGGGGATTTACTTTTAACAAGGGGATTCAATATATACCTTGACTGATAAAGGTCAAGGGTTCAAGAAACTCGGTCAAAGATGTTATCAGCTGGGAAAGCCATTTCCTCACATCAACACTGATAAAAAAAGTCAGATACCCAGCCGATACCACCCCTGCTCTAAAGGGCAAGAGTGACCTTCTTTTGAACATCACTATAGTTGCACATCCCATCAAAGAAAATCTGACCTTGTGTCTCAATTCTTTTAATGTTCTTTAATGACAGATAATTGTCTGCAGAGGCCCCCTTTGCACAATGCTGAGTGAAGCCTTCACATTTCGGAGCTGGACTCAGCACTGACTCAGTGTTTTTCTGCACACATGGGACCACAGGACAGTAGAATAAATAAACAGTGTAACCAGCCCTACAGCCTGTCTTATCTCATCCTTGTGTCCACAGAGATTCTTGAGGGTGGTAATGTTTACAAATTGTTGAAACTTTCTTTCTTCTGCTTCCTGAGCTGGCAAAAACATATCCTGGACAACCTAAGCAACGAGATTACAGAAATTGCTTATCACTTGAGGGAAGGAACTTCTTGTCTCGTTGGCCAGCATGTCTCTCTAATAAGTAGTACTGGTAATATGGTAATATTTTCAGCAAATCTTCTGCAATTCTCCTTACAGATCTATTAATGTATTTAGGGCACTTCCTTGTAAATCCCAAACAGCATGGTCTTAAAAACAAACACAAAACCCAGCTCTCAAAAAAGCTCAAAGCTACATACACACATGTATATACAGCAGTTGCCAATTCAGCCTTTTATGTTAAACACAGCATTTAGGGAATTATATCCTTTACCTTCCCCCGGTACAGTGGCAGAACTAACTCTAGTGCTCTAGTGACATATCAGGCAACAGCCATCAGAGCATTTTTCTTATCATGTAAGAAAGAAAGGTACTAAAATGAGATTTTAAGAGACCAGTATCATATTCCTCTCACTCCCACTGAAAAAATCCATCAGTGACACAGGACTGAACAGAAACATGTTATAGCCAAATCTTACTATTCACCCAGGATACACACTTAAAATTAGATACCTTTTGTGAGTCTTAATGAGCTAACCTAGGTATCGGAACAGGAGTACAGGTGGTTTTTTTCTTAGATAGACAGCAGAAGAAACTCTATTTCAACATCAATAGGCCACTACCCTGCTTAACTGTATGTATCCTCGGTGAATACCACGACATGCTTACAAACAAGCAAAAAACCTTTTCAAGCAAACTCTAAACACTCCAGAATTCACACTGGTACATTTTTAGTCTTTTAAAGCTAGATTTTCCCTCCTTCAATACAGACCTCTTGAGGAGCCAAACTTAAGGTTAGAAGCATTGTATAGCTGGAGACATGAAGCCTAGTTATTCTGTCAAACAAATTAGCCTTCAGTCTGAACTAAAGTGGCACTTGGGACAGTTTGTCTCTTGGTCCCACTTGATTGGGTCAACAAATCAGATTTTTCACTCTGAGTTAAGATTTAATTTACTCACCACCAGTTTAAATAGGATAAGTTTCTGAATCTTTACTAACCACTTCTACTTTAATAGAGCAGTCATCTCTCTATAGTCAATAACTAATACGGAAAGAAAAAACATAAAGCGTTAAATCTGTAAGCAGGGCTAAAATTTTAGAAGTCATCTTCCTTGTTATTTTTGAGACTTTATTTTGCTTTTAATGCAAAAAAGTATCCTAATGATATTCAGTAAAACTAGAACACTGTGCCTTTTAGGTTCATTTTTTTCCCCTCTGAAATGTTTTAAGCCATGTTAATTGAACATGTCATAACTTGTATGTGATAAAAAAGCTAGTAATTGCTTACAAACCACTGCTCATTTCTTCTTTACTTTTAAAATTTTTACTTAAAATATGAGCAAATGTACCCGTTTTCATTGATACGATGGAAGCAGCCAGTATGGTTTAAGTTATCACCCAGTAATTTGGGCACATTAAACCCAATTCTCTGCCTTTTGTTTATTGAT